TGTGAACAAATGCGCTTTGAGTGTTTCTATCTATCGATCATTCAACCACCTACGTATGCCCGAGTGCTGTAGTTGCTTCTGCATAGCCTGGTATAAACCAAAGTTACCAAATGAGTATGTGAGTGTATGGTGAACTCGAGTCACAGGTCAGGAAATGTATAACGTTATATTCTTGTCTGTATGTCATAAAATACTTTCCCTCAGTCACATGTCGCTCATATCCGCATACCACGTGAATACCAAGGAATGCTGGATATGTGCGCCGCAAGCACGTTTGAAGAAAAGCACTAGATGCCTGTTTCTCAGAAAATTTCAATAGGTGCAAAGAATGAAAATTACGCATACAGCCGAAGTAACTTATCACAAAGCCCCACTGATGGTTTAAGATTCTGCGGAAAATAATTCTAGTAGTGATGTAAGGCCCATGAAGTTGCAGTGTTGGTCGACTGCTTTTATAACAATGCAATAAGCATTACAAATACACTACTATGACTCTATATTTAAGCGTTGCATGCATTGCAAGTACCGTAGCATGCAGTTCGTTCGATGAAACTTCGTTATATTGTCACGAAGCAAAGGACGACGAAGTTGTCTATAAGGAAAACAAGTTTATTGGAGCGAACCTGTGCTCCCCTAACAACTGAAAGAATATACAGGCGGCGAAGCAGCGGCCGGCAAAACGACGTGCACGCTAGTGAGCGTCGGCGATCGAATGTCGCGGCATCGGCTGTGCGAGAATTTATATCCCTCGGCGCGAGGGTTTCTCGAATAGTCGAATTGTATCGAGAACGCCGTGATAGCGTTTGTTCGAAACGCTGTTCGTTCGGAACGCTCGAAGCGCTGTTCGGTAGCGTTTGTTCGAAACTCTTTGAAAACAGTGATTCGGAACGCTCGAAGCGCTGTTCGATAGCGTTTGTTCGAAACGCTGTGAAAACAGTGATAGCACAGGCCGGCGCAGCCAGGCCGAAAAAACAAAACACAAATAAACAAACCCAATGCATGGTTCGCGGCAATATGCTTTAGCGTAGGTATACAGTGAAATCTTGGTATAACGAACTTCAGAGGGCTGTGCCAATTAATTCATCATTTTGAAAGGTCATTATAGTAAAAACCCATAAATTAACCACAAATACTTAATTTCTGCAGACCAAAACGACTTACCTTTACAACGGTGGGTCCTTGAACTCGCTTTTAACGAGAAAATAACTCATGCACAAGTGAACAACAGAAAATGCACGTTTACTTTGAAGAAGCCGGGTTCTTTTTTTTTTACGCATGCAGCACAAACGTTGCAGCACGAAGGGTCTCAGCTCATCCACATTTCTGTGGTACAATTTGGTTCTTTGGTCAAAACAGCCTGCTTTTTACCTTTCAGTTGCCGAAGAATAACCACTTCCTCGCTTAGCGAAAACTGATTCCACCTCTTTGTCGCAAGCAGAGAAACTCATTCACCACATTCACTCATTCACTCAGCACCATTCACTCATTCACTCAGCACCACAGCACGAACGCCGATTTGCTTTGCAGACGCTGTAAGTAATCGCAGAAAAGAGATGAACAAGACTGACAAACAAGGCCTCCTAGTTCTAGAGCACATGTAGAAGTGACAAAAAAAAAAAAAAAAAACGCGAAGCGTCGCGGCTGTCATCGCCTGTTCTGAAGAAAAAAAAAAGTGCTGAAAAAGAAAATTTCTCCTATTTCGATTTCTGCTTCCTCACTGTGTCAGGTTTTCCGCGCCTATGCTTCCTGCTCTGCGACTCCCACTCTGACCTTTGCCTCGCTGACTTTGCTTCCCGTGTAGCCCTCGCCTCTGCGCTTGTACAGCTGCAGTGTCGGTGCTTCAATAAAAAAGAAAAAAAAAAAGAAAGTCACCCTATTGTTTTTTTTTTCCCCTTCGCACTGTCTCACGTTTCCGGAGAAGCCGATAGTTATAGCGCGAGAACAGAACGACGACAAAGAGAAAAGCAGGACATGAACGCTCTTTGTCGTCGTTCTGTTCTCGCACTATAACTGTCGTCATGTCATACCAACTATCCCAAATTGCCACAGTTTTGAGAAGCAAGGCGTTCGCTTTGTCATCTACTTGCGTACTGCTCCAGTGGTCGCGATGGATTTCAGAACATGAGTTCGTAGTACTGAGGTGTTTTTAATATAACGCAGAACCAAATTAATGCTCGTTTTTCTGAAAAGTTCGGTATCCTGAAGTACGTAGTAGCGAAATAGTTTTACATTGAAATTATAAGCAGTCAGCATGGGATTTTTTAAAGGTTCCTTAATCTGAAAATTTGTTAATGTGGGGTTTGTTCTACCGAGACTTCACTGTAATTGTGAGATAAATCGTAGGGTAGGCTTTAGGTGTCACGCCACGTCCCTCGTGAGCCCTCAATTAGATAAACTACTCAATCAACTCAAAGAAATATACTATATGCATCACATAACACAACGTTCAAAGCACAAAATATAGTGTCGCATGACCTCTATTCCCGCCATGTGTGAGGTCCACCAAAATCTTTTTCCATGAAAATTTCGAACGCTTGGTGCTCTCTAACATGCACCGACATTGCAGAACACATGGGCCTGTGGCAGTTCACCTCTATCGAAATGCAGCCGCCGTGGTCGGGATCGAACCATTGCAAGGGCAGCGCAAGTAGTGGGCATGGGGGGGGGGGGGGGGGGGGGCTGGAGCCTCGCCCAATTTTAGCCTGCCCCTCCCCCCCCACCTCATTCCTTCCCCGGCCCCCTCCTCCCTCAAAGAAATTCACTTATTGTGGGTGCTTGGATTACTTTACCCCTCCGGTAAAGCGCCGCCCCTGATTAAACCCGCGTCGTTTGAGTCAGCAGCCGAGCACTGTAACCGTTATACCACTACAGCAATCTCCCTGCTGCGTAGACAGAAAGAAGCACGAAGCGACAAAGTTCTTTATGACGAGCCCGCTAAGTGAGCTCATATGATTAAAATCTAAATGCAATGGGAAAAAAGAATATGCCTGCATATTCTCTGCAAACGAAAATTGAAGAAAGGAGGAGGTTAAAGGCACCAATTTCCTGTATAACTTCGATCCGACACCGATATTTTGGTAGCTCTTGCAATTTTGTTACGAGCTGGCGTCTTCAAAAGTTTGCATTAGGTTCACGTGCAACTGAATATCTTTGTACCTGCTCCAAGGCACCATGCGTAAAAAAGAAGTTGTTTTGTGTCATTACGCAAAGGAAGTCATGAAAAGATAAGGTATCTCACTATTCGGAGCTTTTGTGGTGCCAGTACAACTGCAAGAGTAGGGGCAAGACATCAAGAGAGGTTAATACGTGTGCATAAATTCCATTTCGCCGTTTCTTATCAATTACTTCTACTTAGCCATTTTTTTTTTTGCTTGATATGCGTGTCTCTTTCTTTTGCACTGTTTACTCACAGTCTATGCCAAAATGTCTGTCCTCACGTCTTTTTCACTGTGTTATATTTTAAGTCCATAATACTATAAACACTTTAATGGTCTGTGAGTATTCTTATGATTGTATTCAAATATGATTGTGTGAAAAATAATGTTATTTAGCTGAAACTGGAAGCCTGAATAATTTGCATCTTTGTTCTTAGCGTGCTATATTGCATGCCGCCAGTATGTGGCATCCTGAAGGCGCTAACCTGCCGCATAGTCCTCAGACCTTTTTCCTCGTTTATAATTCATCAGGGCCATGTGGGCGATCACAACAAGCTTATACCAAAACCACAATAATTGGTTTTAATGCGAGGAACCCGTCAGGGCGCTGGCTGATGCGTGTGAACAAAGCGTGCCAGCAAGCGACTGCATCCTCTGGTGGTTGTATTGTAAAATCTTTCAGCCTCGCCACCTCGTTCACTAAGAAAACCTCTAATGATGCTGTTCTCACACCATTTTAGTCCTGCCAGTAGGCCGCAACGTATCGTCATCAGAGGATTTTTTCATGTATAACGTCGAGTTTTCAGCGCAGCGTAAGAAATACTAGGGTGTTTAAAATTACGTATCCATATATTTTCTAGTAAAGGAGCACACCACCTAATACTTAAGTAGTGGTGTTGCGGGCTAAATGTGAGTAGTATTTGCTTTTTGATCAATAATCTTCACAAGTATGAATGTAGCCACTAGTTCAAAATGGCTGGGCATTCATCAAGTGCTTAACTTTGACTGGGTGGCTAAATTGTGTGCACAGACAGATGGATGAATGGACAGACGGACGGACAGACAGACCAAATTTCTGTGTTCAAGTATCCCAATAAATACTAATGTCTTTAATAAAAACTAAATTTGATTGATTGTTATAAAATGCCGTAATATATTTAACAATCATTTGCGATGCATGGAAAGCAGATTGAATATGTGTTATAGCAATAGCATTGAAGAAAACAAAGACATCTTAAAGATCTAGATTTGTTTGGTTCTGCAATCCTCTTTTAGATAACTGTTTTAGCGTTTCCAATGATGTCACACAGATCAAGGCAATCGCTTGCAAAGTGGCATCAATTCACCGATTTTACGAAGGAAACATGCAATGGGGTATTGTAACGTTTGATTGGTGAGCATTCAAAATGAGAGGCAATACTTTACTCTGGTCCCCTACTACTTGCCACACGACAGTGGACCAAAAATTAAGGTCTACAGTGTGCCTTCAAAACACGACAACGGTTTTCTTCTGTCATAAATAGTCAATTTTTCTTCAATTTTACACAAGACACACTACTAAAAAAACTATTGGACTTTAAAATCATGTATAAATCAAACAGAACAGTGACATATATTTGCTAAACATGAACACTGACAAATAAGATGCTATCTGTAGCACAAACTAATAATTTGCTTGAAATAAGTAGGGGTAATTAGTTCATGATACTTTTGAGAATGAACTATCTTGAACACACAGCACCGATGAGAGAGGCTTGCGAGTGTTTGTCTCCATTGTTTGGGTCGTGCTTCAAAGACCTTAAAATTAGCACTGCTTACAATGTGATGCAAGAGAGAAAAACTGACTTTGGTAGTCTCAATGACATCCTCCACTTCGGGCTTGAAGTCTGTTTTCTTCTGTTCCGTCTGGAGGATGCAGTGCACCCAGCCAATAATGGCCGCCAATGAACGATCCAAACCAGTGTCCATCTTGATCTCCATCTGCTCAGTGAGTTCACGCTTCTTCTGCAAACACACACCATGCTCGGGAGTAGACCTATTGAAAAGTTCACAGATTGCTGGAATGGTGTGCTGTACAGTTCAAATGACACACACAAAGACAACATGACCGCATGCACCCTCTTCCATCTATCGCCATTTGAGAATACAATAAAGTGAAACACTAGTTGGAAGAAATAAAAGAAAACTGCTAGGTCAGTACTGCCATCTATGAAGCGCCATACAAACTACCTTGCAAATGAGCTTGCACAATTCAGAATGCTCATGGAGAGATTATCTCATGCGAAAATGCTAAATGTACATTCAAGTTTACATTTTTCCAATATGAGAAAATTACAAAAACACAAAAGAAAAAAAAACTATCTCAGATGTGGCTTTTTGGGAAAATCGGTTACATTCGAAGGGATTACAGTGCTTGAAAGAACAATGAAAAAAAACCACTGTTTCTTCTTGTATTACCCTTTTAATATACTGAAGAACTTGGAGAGTTTCACCTTCAAGATTAGAACACAATGGTGTAATTGGGCCTTGTGCACATCACCTTCTCAATTGCTAGCCTAGCTTCACTTCTGTACAAGTAACATTGGTCATTTAAAACTACCCCAGAATGTCTACTGCAAGCACAGTCGCACAGTGCCCCCATACGCATTCATAAGTAGGGGTGTGCAAATATTCAAAAATTTCAAATGACAAATCAAGTAACATTCTATTCAATTCGGTACCAAATACTGCATCTTGAGGACACCAAATATTCTTTCTAAAATATTTTTTTAATAATTAGCAACAAAAAATGCTGAAAGGAACAAAATGTCTGGAACAGTGAGAGGGCAGCTTTTCCATCATCCAATTGCCTAGACACATGCAGCCCGTCATGTACTTAAGGTGCTGTCGACACAACACTGATCACAGAATGAAGGCATTTCTTCTTAAAGCTCTAACGTAATCAATCCACTATTCTCATCATGACATTGGTGATACTGTGAGCTCTTGCTTGAAGTTTATATGCCAGTTTTATTTACCCACTGCACCAATAGTGCCACCTTGAATATTATCAGAGTCATTGCTACATTTCAGCCTGCAGTTGCAAAATATTTTGAAAGGTCTAGTTGCTGCTGTATACAAGCTTTCCCCAGTTTCAATTATTGTGGTTAAATAATTCTGTCAGCTAAAAGTAGTTGAAATGTTGCTTTGTTAATGTTTAAGAATATTCGTTTCAAATAATGTGCTGTCAAATTTTTGAGCTGTTCTAAAAATTGCTACCCTACCAAACTAGGGTTGCTTTAAGAATTATTCGTTTACTAGTTGAAAGACTCTTCGAACGGAGTTCAATTTATACTCATACTTATTTAAGTGTCATCACTATTCAATTTGTAAGTTATTTGATGCAAAAATTCACTGCTCTCACAATCCTATGCTTAAAGTTACAGGCAAAACTACAGAGCTGCTCACTTTGTTGATGCTTTTGCTTCTGATGGTGATTAGATATGTCTGAGTGCTAAAAAATGAATGGGCCTTTGAAATTACTACTCAATGCGCAATTCACACTTTTTGACACTTGCCATGATTCCACATTTCTAACAGGCAATATTAAGTGCACTAAGGAAATTCACCTCCTCAGAAAGCATTCATTGGATTTTTTTTTTTTTTTTTTTTTTCAAAGCAGTTTTAAGCAATGACGTGGCTTTGTGACAAAACGCATGCACTCACGATGCAAAAGACCTGGGTTATAATCTCAGTCGAACTGAAGATTTTTACTACTAATCTTATTTTCATCTTTTCTGATTTTTCAGTAGTGAACAATACTGATGCCGACACAGACACAGACTCCGATCTCTACTTTAAAAATTTTGCAATAAAAGTGCTTTAACACACTCGTGTTAAAATCACCTCTCTTATTTTTAAAAGATGCGTGGCAAGCGCGAAAGTGCACATAACGCAAATACAGGAGAGGACGTCACATAAAAATCATGCATAAATCGCTACATCGTGAATTTCGTTGCTGTCCACAAAGGCTCACGTATTCTCCACCAGGCGAAAATTAGGCACATTGTCCTCTGTGGGGAGTCAGGGACACAACATACCAAGTTTCACAAAATTTCATAAAACCAATGAGCTGAAAATAAGATAAGAACCCACAGGAATTCGTGAAGTCACCCTTGGAGATTCAGGCGTGAAATTAAATAATACTTTGACCTTGAATTTCTCTTCTGTTCAAGAAGCTACTATTATGGCAGTACAGTTTTCACAGCATAATTTATTTCTGATTCACTGCTTCATTTCTACTCTTTATGTGCCATGGGGAAAATAAGTTGCACTAGGGTGATTCTACAAAAGGTTGAACATGCATGTCCGTACGGTATTTCTGTCTAGTCTGGTTTTCTCATATGTTATGTGGGTATATTTGAGGTATACAAAACTGAAAATGTAATTTCCATAAGCTGATCCCAGTGCGCCTCGCTACTGCTTGCCGCAACACTTCATAATTTTGCAGGCGAACGTGGTGCGCACTGTAGACTTGTGCCAAAATTTTTTCTTCTTGTTTTAATACACATTACAGTAAATTACATGCATGCTTTCCTTAAGCCGTCTGCAGAACTAAAAATTCTGAAAGAAAACGGCTAACTCGGTCAAAATGAAAAAAGTTTGGTATATTTGATGCGCCTTGGCGCACTTTTTATTTGACACGAAAATTTCAAAATAATTTCCAATATAGAGCAATATATTTTCAACATTCTTGCAAAAGCTTGTTTTCCTAAATGCAGCATGATAAGACAAAGAATAGTTAAAGGAGCAAGTTTTTTCAAAAAAGCTCATTTAAAAAAAAAAACAGGTCCCAATCTTCACCAAAATTTTTTATCGAAATCCGCTTATGTAACTCAATACTTGATTTCAATATTATATGTCCTCATTTGCTTTGTTCACGAAATTAAGCGAGCCAAAAAGGCCTTGCTGAATGTGCTGCCTTCAATGCTGTGATGACACCTTTTGGCTTGTTAACACTTACGCCGTTTCATAAAAAAAATTAAAAAAAAGAGCAAAATAGCAGCAACGGTTTGTACAAACTAGCAAAGATATACGTGTGTCTTTTATTATGACATTCTGCTTTGTATTCTTGAATTCAAAACAGAATCTGACACTTCTGGGGCTCTCGAACAAGTTTATTTAGTTACCACTCAGAAAGGTTTGATTTGATCGCCCTTCTCGCTGGATGAAGAAAAGATTTCCTTTAGATGCATAAAACTATGCTGGCAAACCTCGTCGGTGTCATGAATAGCCTGAGCTTCTGGCAGTAGCTTATGTAGATGTGCAACATCCAAAACGTTTATGCAACGAAATTTTTTTTTCCTAGCAATGTTCTTCTTGTGAACGCGCAAATAATCGGCACAGAATACTTAGTCTGAGCTATGAGCTCCATGCATTGTGCATACTGAACAGCTATACCAAATTGAGACGTTTGTACTGAACAGCGCCGCACTCGTTCTACCGCTTCTCCTGCAGTGCTCCAGTGACTCAAGAACGCCACGTTGTTTCACCTTTTAAGAAGAGGACCGTCTAAAGTTCTTACTTTAATAACGTATGGCCCACCCTGTGAGTTGAAGGACAAAGTTTGTCTCGTGCTGCCGGTGCCCTTGTGCAGTTCTTCATTTTAGATGTGAAAGTCACACTTCGAAGGTGGCAAAGTGGTGGAGGCGAGGAACCTTAGATTTAGGTGCATGTTAATGAACAACAGGTGGCCGAAATTTTGAGAGCCCTTCGCTGCCGCGTTCTCATAATGATGTGGTGGTTTTGCGACATAAAACGTCAGCTTCACGTTTTCAAACAGCTGAAACGCCGGGGTCAAGGTAATACAAGAAGTAGTTATCCGAGAGTGACACGGAGGAGGTGATAACGAGAAACAAAATGAATGGCTCGGTAGATGGCTCAGGTATTGCCTCCAAAAGCTTATTTACGTACGTTGTTCATAGCACTACATGGTTGAAGGTCCCTTTATCTACTGCACAAGGCGCAAGGAAAACAGGCAATGAGAAAGCACCTCCCTAATGGCACATCTGCTCATTATGAAAGCCAGCAGTTAAAAATAAGGCTTCCTTGGCGCTAATTACATAAGCTGTACTGTGTGCCCCTGGCTGGTTTTGGCAGGATCTCTATAATACATAATAAAAAACAGAAATGAATGAACTTTTCATACATACTAGTTTCATTAAAGACTCATGTTGTGCAAGCAATATAAATAGTCAAATTTAAGATTGCAGGACCAAATTGCATTTGAGTTTCTAAAGATCCACTTCTATCTGCCCAGAAAGAAATAGAGAAATTACGAGATGTACAAAATGCACTGCAGTCCAACTCTTTTGTTACCATGTGAAAATGGTTATTTTTCGTATGTCCCAGAAATATTGTTTTTGCCAGTTTGAAAATTACTCTAGGACGCATTGCAGCATATCAAATTCTGCTAAATGTAATGCTGTAATGTTTCGAAAAACATATTTTGTAGAGCACCTAAAATATTTTAGAATAAATAAAAATGTGAAAAGTGTATAATTTTTGGTTGCCAGCTGGTAAACAGTGCAATGAAAACGGTATAAATGCAAAAACATTCAAAACAAAAAATTCAGAATATACATTTTGAAGATGAATGATCCAGGCACAGTATAAACAATACTAAATGTTGTAGGAAATGTTTCTATTCACACAGACAAAGAAAATCGGAAGCCCGGTGCTGCTTCGTTGCTCCTGCCATGCTGTGAAGCATCGCTTGGTTTTTTTTTTTTCAGACACAAGTGAACTCGTACACTTTTCTCAATAAATTGTTATTTTTTTTGCGATAAAAGCCTCCTGGTGTTAAAATATAGGTGGATACTAGTGACGTGCATAATACCTCTGTAAGCAAGATGTCCAATGAACTTCGCTATTTCGTCTACCGTAACCTCTTTTCATAAGCCACCTCACTCAACATAGGTGGGCGTTCCTATATATGCATGCAGGCATATTTCTTAGCATTTTGTACATCGTATTAAAAAAAAAATGACATAGCATGAAGTTGTAAAATGTTTTATGCTGCTCTATATTCAGGGCGAAGATGTCCCCGGTGGCCTCCTTGTCGTTAATAGGCGCTCTGCATCCGGCGGCAGCACACCACGGCCTAGCGAAGTGTGGACCTCACACGTAACCAGAGTAGCTATAAGATTGTGCACAAAGGTCAGTGGCTACGCACTTGCGGCAGAAAAGACAACTTGAGGCCATAAAGAAAAAAAACCCATGAACGGCTGCGGATGCCTCAGGCTGACACAAAACATTGTCACCCCAAGACTTGAAACTGGGGTTCTGTCATCCACAGACTAAGCTCATCTGCACTCGTTTCAGGTGAGGTTGCAAGACAGTTTTGAGCTGTGCCTGTGTTTTGCAGCGCTGATGAGGGCTCATGCGCGCATGACGATGACACCATAGGAACGACTAGTGGCACTAGATGTGACTCTGTGTCTGATATAACGATACAAGCAAAACCAAAGCTTCTGGAGACTGGCTGAAAAGGCCAGCTCAATATTTTAAGCATGCGACGGACATTCAGAAATATTTTTTGTAAAGTAAATTTTGCCTGACTCTCAGCAACAGCTCTTTATTGAATACATAGCTGGCATGAATTTCCAGAAAATATTACTGCTCAACACTGTCCAATTCCAAATCTGACTCTTTAATTCGATATTTGGCTTGCAAAGGTTCTTTTGATTATAGACCTTCCATGCTACTGTAGCATAATCACGAGGAGCAAGCATTTCTGACAAGTTCGCCAGCCAGTGCATTTTTCCAACAACACATGCACACTGGTTCATGCAAACGCCTTTCAAAAACCACTATGTTGCCAAAACGGGCAAATTCAAATTGATTCTGAAAATTGAGTGGCTGGACCAGCTACTGGGAAGTGTTCGGTCCACAAGGAACAAATTTAACATGCCAAAATCGACGAACCAATGCGTCGATCACCTGTGATCGATTTGAATAGACGTGGTGATGGAAGAGTTGATAGGCACCACCTTTGAAAAGTTTAAACATTACGATTCAACAAAACTTCCCCAACAAAAACCTGCATATGGCCATGTCATGCAGAAAAGTAGTTCCTTGATATAAAGCATAGTGTAGCATCGCACGTCTTGCAGTAAATGTAAAAGCTTGTTTTACGTTGGTGTCAACTAAGATAGCACAAGGCTAAGCTGACTGATGTTTCGAGCTGGTTCGCATCGTGATTGCTCTCAGATCAAGAAGCAGCCATCCTCATAGTCACAGCTGCTCGTCAAATCGATAAATTTAGTTGCAAACACACTAGAAGAATGTCAATACAAAGCTCCCTGCAACATCAACAGAGATGCCAGATCCGACAGATATCCGGTCATGTCAGCGTGCAACTGTGGCCAACGATTAGCCTTTCGTTGATTAGCAGACGTTAAGCAAGGACTTATTCTGTAGTATAGGCACACTCATTTCTTTTCCCATGGTGTATCTATTTATTTATGCTTGTGTGAAATGAAGATTGTGCTTATGTCGGCCCTTCTTGCCTTCATGTGTTCCTTCTGCTGACTCAAGTGAAACGTGCCGGGTGCTTATGCCCATGGTGACACCATGGCATAAGCACCATGGCCTTAGATCTGGGCCGACTACATTCACGTACATGTGAAACACAGCTATACTTTAAACAAATTCTAGCACTTAAAACACAAAGCCAAATTCCCCTCGATGTAACAGGAAACAGGATTTCTATATAGAGCATTAGTTTCTTAAAATAACCACAAGAAAAAAGCCACCAATAGAAAGGTTCAAGGTTAAGATTAAACTGATTATCCATAAAAAAAAATACTGCTTTTGTTGGAGCATGTGAAATAGACAAACTTAGCAGATATGAGCATAACATTTAAATAATCATATTAATATTTAAACAACCAACCCTTCTGGTCACCGTGACGATTAATTTCGGGAGCACTTGCAACGGATTGTATTGATAGAGACGAAAGAGGCAAGACAAACACACTTTATACAAAGGACAGATGAAGCAAATACACAAAATTCGCATTAATGCAGTAAAAAAATAAACTGACACTATATGTACACACTAGTCTGTTATGGACTGAAACCAAAACTAGCTACAATATGTGTTAGCGCCAACTCTAACTTTTGCCAACATCTATCCAAGATGGCGTCTCGGTAATGAAACGTTCTTACAATTCACATCACGTTTCCAGGTCAACCGTGTGCCCATTTGTTGCGCCGATTGTTCGTCGATTCTGTCGCCGATGTCCTCTTCCCGAGTTCCTATGATCGCGGTCCTTTTCTGCCAAACGAGCCCCTCGACCTCATTGCCGGTTGGTTCCAATCGTCATTTTCTCTGGCTCGGTTCGGCTACACCTAACTCATCAATGGCGTCGTGACTGTCGTGCGGGCTGCATCTGTTCTGGTGCAAAGTGGAAGAGCTGTAGTCCACCAAGGAACTGTGGTGAAAGGCTGCGGAAAGTCCGGGCAGCCTCACTCGAGTCTTCCAAGATAGACAGCCACATTTCAGGCCTCTTCGCTGACAGCCTCAAAACCAGGCGGCTCTACTGCTTCCATCGCGGTAGCGACGCTGGCTTTCCTGATCTTAGCAGTTTGAAGCACCAGTGCACAGTGACTGCTCATCCTTCGAGAGTTTCCATTACGGCTCGGGTAGCGTGCTACAAGCCTTCTTGTTCAATTTCGTACGTGAACGTGCATATGGGCACCATCGGCGGGTCTCACGCGTGCATCGCATTTCAGCACTCAGCATGTGCCTCGTGCCCTCTTACTCATGACGCTCACAAATTAAGAAAATATTTGAGAGAAAAAAATTACATGGCCTTATTTCTAACAATAACCTTCATAAAAACTAAGTGCGGGGAATGCATGGCCTATCAATTTATTCCCGTGTTCATGGACTATTTATTTACAATAAGTAATTCACCACAAGTGACAATGAAACCACTTCATACAAAATGCTGATGTCAATAAACAGAAGTACACAGCATCCCCCCAACTCATTCAATAGCCACAGAGACCAATGAAAGTAAGCCTCTATATATGCTACGTGTTCACATCATTTATTCCTATCTTTGTGAGCTCTAAAAGTGAACATGAATTGACAGCATATACATGAAGTGCAGAAATAATACTCACAGGAGGAGAGGTGCCACGTTGTTATTAAAAAGCTTCTCAAGAAGCTGGTAAATGGAGTTGCACTGCCTGACCGTGTCAAAGAAATAAATCTCTGGCTCACTCTTTGGTTCAGACACGGGTATGGCTGGTGAGGAGAACAAAACATGTCACATTTGTACGTCTTCCTGTCTATACCAAGAGCTTTAGGTTTTCATACGTTCCTATCAATGAAAGACAGCACAACACTACTATAGACTCTAGCACCTATATGTGATTTTTACTACTATAGAGACTAGCATCCATATGTGGTTTTGAAGAAAAGTAAAGCAGAGTCATTATACAAAACCTAAAGGGACCACCTAAGTATATTCCATCAACATGTATTCCATCTACTAAGAAGAGATGAGCTGGGTTGAAGCATTCAGGTACAATATTAGAGGCACTTGTTAAAGGAAGCCATGAAGGTGACCTCGTTTGTGCAACCTTTTAAAGGCTCTTTTTAGTGTTTTTCACCTTTAGAAAACCTCCTTGGTAAACTTGCATACAATGTTTTTTTTATTCACGTTTCATTGTCTGCCTTGTTTTTGTTAAAAACAAGGTCCATGTCTAGTCACCTTTTTTTGCTCATTCGATTTTGCTGTTGATAGCACATCTATGGCCTCGGTCAGCAACTACTGCTTGGTGTCAAAAGTTTTTATGCTTCATTGCCCTGTTTCCACGTGCATGCTGATGCTTTTATTCTTCAGAAAAAAATTTTGCAATAGCCTTGCTCTTTGATTGATGCTGTTGGTACCAAGAGCTGAGCAAGAAAAACTGCACATATATGGCGTGCTTGTGTTACAATGAATAATAGATGGAAATAGCATTCTGTGTGACACTCCAATGTCCTTGTCTTCACTATACCAACCAGCTTGGCCCCAACCTCTATTTCATTCATCACTTAATTCACATGATGTGATGCCTGGCTGTCATTTTATTTTTCTGCCACGCATAAGTTGACATGATTCCTTCCTGTCATGAAGCCAGTATGGGGTCTTTTTGTGAAGGAGTATCAAGCACCAGAATGGCTTCGTGGGCCGCCACGGAGAAGACCCAGTTGAAACCCTGTTCCATCCTGGGTAATTTTTTTCCCCCTTATTTCGCACACCATTTATGAACACCTGTGGTGGCAATAGACAACTACAGTGTCAAAAAACAGCTGCTTTTTAACCTCATAACAGCTTTTGTTGTAGAAAAAAAATCATGAAATGTCCGCGAAGTGAATGATGATGAGTGGGTGAAAGTGGCATTGTTTGCTGTTGCCATAAGTCACCCGTGACATTGACCACTCACGCATGTAAATGACTGACAAAGTGGTGTACAATCACAAAGTTTATTGGTCCCAAATGGTAGTTGTGTTGAGTTGTGAATTTCATTTTGCCTTCACTATTACTGCTTTGTGGCATCGGATCTGGCCTGAAATTGGCAAAGACGAGGCCTGTGCCTGTTCCCTGGTGGTCGTTGGTTGTTTCCAGTTATACAAAATACATTATGGAGTCTCTCGAGGTGTCATAATGCACAAGCCAGTCGTCTGTGATGATTGTAGTCATGATGATCTGTGTCACGTCATGAGTTATGCTGGGTACTTTGCATGTGCTGTGCTGTGATGGCAGAAAGACAATGGGCAACACGTTCGTTCTTCGTCATCAGCATTATCGCCAGCGGCGGCAACGGCGCGACAGAGGACAGGCCTCGTTCATAAGCTCCTTCGCATCTAAAAAAATATTTTGACTGAAATTTATTGAAGGCCTTGTATATGGTTTAACACACTTCCAGAACACGCCGCTGCTATAGAAAATTGTTTGTACAGCAATATTAGTGGCCTACAAACAACAAAGCAAAATGCTAGAGGAATTGAGAAAGGTTTAAAAAATTTAAAATAAATTTGTGACACTTCATTGCAACTTATGGATGCTCAATAGAGCATCCTCAGCACAGATGAATTATACATTTAATTCGACTAGCTTACCGTACCAAAAGGCATGCATACCGTATTTACTTGCATAATGAACCCACCTTTTTTTCAGAAAAGTCGATGCCAGTTTGGGGGAGGGTTCAGTACACGGGAGAAAAAAGTCACGGGTGTTATAACAGTGGAAATTTTGCACGGTGGTTTTGCTGATCCTGGTCTGCGAAATACATGACAAATTTTTTTTGTAGCCTGCAGGTCTTGTTTTCTATCGTAACAAACGCGCATAGACATTGTCGCCCAGCCAGTCAGTTCCCTTGCTCCATTGCATGCTTGATCGACTTTTCAAGTTTAAAACCAGCCGTGTAGATAACGTACCAGCCGTACACGGCATTCGTAGCGGTTGTTCATCTAAGCTCACTACGACAAGCCGGACAACAAAAATGCAGTGTCTGATGGCGGCACACAAACCTTGCGGGAGCACAACACGCCATCACCGCGGTTGCACATTGCATGGCTTCAGAGATGACTGGCATGTGATGTGCACTCTTTAGTGGCATGTTTCTACGCTGCACGCCCGTTGTCGCAGAGGCCATGTGCTTTGTTTTCTGCTTTGCTTTTTTGCCGCTGTGCTTGCGTGACACAGCACTATAAGCACAGAGCTTTTTCCTGCATTCGACAGATGGTGCTATGCCGCAAAAGGCGAAGAATGTTGATACTAAATGGAGGAAGCGAACTCAAAAATAGTCAAGCAAGTATTAAGACAACAGCAGAATACCAAGTCAGAAAGAAACATCGGTTAAGTAGGTGAAGGAAACAGAGAGGGACGTGTGGAATATTGGAATGCTTACGAAATTATCACTGGAGACCTACTGAACTTTCAAGCAGGAAATGGCAAATAAAAAGATCTCCGATAATTCTCGGGGTAGTTCTCTACTGTTCAAGGCCAGAACGGGAGTATTGTGGACCAAGACATACCGAGCCGAATATGAAGGCACATACACATTATGTAGTGCGTGTGGAGAGGAGGAAGAAACAGCTGAACATTTGATAATATTCTGTAAAGGGCTCTCCTTTATATTCCAAAATAATGGCACGGAATTTTTCAAAGCATTGGGGTTTAGAGACAGGAAGGCAAAATAGCCTTTAAATGGATAACCAGGAGGAGGCTAACTTATTGGTGGCTACAATCAAGGCGCGAGTGAAATTCAATCCACCGACCCTTCATCCATCCATCCATCGCAACTTTTAAATTTAGATTGACATCGTCCAGCATGGTTGTTAAACTATGTTTTGACTTTTATTGCATCATTACTTTGTGATATAATGGCTTGATTAAATGTTTGGATCATCAATGGCACTGGTTATCATACCGAAATAAAATGAAAAGATACATTTAAAAGATTTTTTTTCTTTTTTCAGAGGACCAAGTTCGGGGGTGGGTTCATTATGTGAGTGGGTTCATTACGCGAGTAAATACAGTATATCAACAGCATACAATCTTGATTGGAGTGGCTAATGTGTGTATGATTTAAATGATAGACCTGAGGGGAAAACTGCCCATGAAAAATTGGCAACATCTAAAATGTGCGACAAACTCACCTCTTAGGCCAATCTCCAAAGCATAGTGGATGTGCTCAATGCAAAGGCCGTTCAGCAGTATGTCAAAAATCTGTGCCACGCTTTTTGGCAGCTCCGTAGGCTTGGACAACTGCAGAAATTTGGAGAAGTTGCTCACTCCTGTCCACAAAACTTTAGGCAGCACTTTTCTACACAAACAGTGCACGATACAACAAAGACGCAATTTCAGAGCTGTAAGTGTCTGCTGATTTCTCACACACACAAAAAAAGCACACTGAGAAGAGCAAGTTATAATAGGAATCTAAGCCACGAATATTTTCACTTATCCAATGATAGTTTTACTGCTGTGTCAGCAGCACAGTCAAGCAAGGTAGTCTATGCAACCACAACACACTGACTTCACTATGACACTGCATGTCAACACAGTGGTTATAACGATGGAGAGAAGTTTACATTTCAGTGCCTGCTGAACTGTGAAATTTCACGTGAGAGACCTCCTGCATTCGAAGATGATGCGTGGATTTTACTGGCACAAGGGCCAATTTTAGCCAGAGAGTGCCAAGCAAATAGTTACACATATCTTCAATGAAATGATGGAAAACTACCGGTAATATGGGTAATAGTGGCCTCATATAAGTCCCCATGGAGAGTGTAAAGGAAAACTATCAATCGGCGAAGGAACTACACCGAACGCCGTTCCTGGGTTTCAACGTCTTCTTTTTCTGCAGTGCTCCCCTGCACGCATTTATTCCTTCCTATTTTTTTTCTACATACTCCCCCCCCCCCCCCCCCCCCCCATAGAGCTGCACAAATTGAGCTTGAACCGTTCTTTCACTGGTCTTCTTAAAAGCTTTCCATCTTATGATTTTACTCTGCAAGCTCAGGTTATGTCATCTTAAACAGAGTTCGACGTCTGTGATTAGTCTTAAAGGAGTCCTGCAACACTTTTTGAGCATGGTCAGGAAACGCTGTCTATCGATAGTAGAGGCTCCCGACAATACGCGAGCCAAATATTATAGCGCAGCATGTGACCTGGAATTCACAATAAATTATCAAGGTCAACTAAAAATAGCTTTCTCTTTTCTCAACAAATCACGGAAAATAATCCCAGCAAGACCATCTATCAGCCATTGGCTGATTTGAACATGGCGCTATTACAGAGGTCGCCATGAGAGGCCGTCACTTGTCCACGCGTGTGCACGCGATTACACTGAAAAAAAAAAAAACACGTATTCTAAAAAAAGAAAAAGAAAAAAAGCTCAAGGTCACGAGGTGCGAGTGACATTTTTTGTTTGCCCCTCCCATCCCTCCCTGCTCAGCTTCCAGCCCTCTCGTAGGGACGAGAGAAGAGAGAATGTGATTGCAGCGTGTGACAAATCTTTGTAACTCTCCTCGTACTGAACGGATTCTTGAACATTTGCGGCATTCGATTTGTGAGGTAATTTGCTTTTCCAGTGAATTAATTCTATGGTTACTCAAAAAAAAGTGTTTCAGGGCCCCTTTAAGAGCCAAGCACTCCTGCAAGTGTCAAGTTCCTCGAAAATCACCGCACCATATACTTGGAGACTGCTGCTGCAGAGTGCAGTCAAAGTGAACCACCCGTAGTTTTGGTTAGTGCTCTTCCTTATATAAGATCAGCCTGTGATCCACCTGCTCCTGATGGTATCTTAGGTTCTCGCTGTCAGGTCGAGTAGCCCAAGGGCTTCGAGCTTCGTAGTCGTTCCGACTCGGAGAAGGCTGGGATAAACGGCCAAAAGGAAATTGCACTCGAAACATCGGAGAGGGCTTTTCGACGTCCGTGTGCATGTAGGTGAGCTGTCTTGATTTGGCACTTGCCTTTACTTCCAGTTGCACTTTCTCCATTTTTTCACGGTTGTGCTTGCTATTTCCAAGTGCCCTGAGCAATGAAGACATGCCTTTTCTAGCAAATCTGCCCCACAAACCACCCAACCAATGGGCTCCACCTGAAATAAACTTCGAATGTCCTTAATGCGTCGATGATGTGAATGGAGAGCTTGCTTTGATGCTCCTCTCTGCCTTGTAGTTCGCTATTTTATCAAAGTGGTAGCTGAAGGCTAGTATACCTTGTGTGGGTGAAGAAGCGTAAAACACGACTTGAAGTTGCCCAGCCAGAGATTCTTCACTTAGAACTTCTTGATGCGACGCATAATGGTTTGCTCGCTCTACCGTAGCATTCTCAGGTAACATATCAGCTCGCCCCACGCATTGCTGGACGACTGGGCCGTATCGCTCCGATAACCCTTTCATCCGTAGTCTATCTTTTCCAGTCTTTATGGATGTGTCAGGTTGGCTTCATGTTATTTCCGAGTAGCTGTTTCTGATCTTCCTTCACAGTGATTAAGTGTCTCCCTTACCTCTCAACAATTGTCCTTTAGAAGTCCGCAATCCACTCATGTAAGTGCAGTTCACCAGGATCTGCGATGGCTGCTGCTTCAAGCTTCCGGAATGATTGGTGAATATGTGAGACTGTGTCATTGCCACTGATCGCTTCTACTCACAGAACAGAGAGCGTGATCTTAGTGTGGTAGTCAAGTGAGCCACTTTGACAACTGGGCCCTTGCAGTGTCCATCCAAACACTGTGTTGACTGCGACCAATCCTGGAATATCTGTACTCCTTATGACTCCTCCTGTAATAACCTTCCACAGATGGTCAGCTCCAATCAACAAGCTGATGCCAGTCTCAGTCTCAAGAAAACTCTTTTCATCTGCAATAACTTTCCCTTCATGACGCAACTTCTGTATGAGGTAGCCATCACTTGTTGGCGAAATAATGTCACAGATAACCAGTACGACAGAGGCCCGAATGATGTGGATTTAAGAATGGTGTTGGCTCCACAAGGAAACTTTAACCAATTTTCGTTTTTCTGTAGAATTTGGGAAAACACTGCCAAACATGGTAAATAAAACTCTAGTTTCTTCCTGTAGACTAAGTTGCACTTTTCCAGCTATAAAAACCGTGATGGAGGAGGCGTTTTGCGTCTCTGGCAATCTCTACATGTCTTCACATAATGCTGTACGGCATCCAGTAAAATTGGCCAGTAGTACTTGGTACGAATGCGAGCCAATGTTCTACTCACTTTGAGGTGTCCTGCTGCTGGGTCATCGTGGCAGGCTTACAGGATTTCGGATCGCAAGGCCGAAGGAACTACAAGTAGGAATTTCTCTCTGCTGTGCTCGAAGTTTTTTTTGTATAGAACGTTGTTCATCATCAGGTACAACGACAATCCCCAGATGAAAACTCGAAGAACACGCATGGGTTGCTCTTCCAGATGCTTGATCAGCTGAAACAACTCTGCATCAGATTGTTGATATTCAGTCATGCCAGCGGTGCTGACCGCTCCAAGAAATGGAAAGTCGTCTCCATCTTCCACAGGTGCAGATTCCACTTGTGCGCATGACAGGCAATCAGCATCGCTGCGCTTGCGACCCGACTTGTACACGACTGTTATGTCATATTAATGCAACTGGAGGCTCTATCTAGCAAGCCGCGCAGAAGGGTCCTTTAGGGCTGTGAGCCAGCACGGTAAGTGATGGTTGCTCACTACTCGAAATGGTCTACCATATAAGTACGATCGCAATTTTTGTATGGCCCATATTACTGCCAGACATTCTGTTTCCATCGCAGAATAATTCATTTCAGCTCTCGAAAGAGTGCGACTAGCATATGCAACCACTCGTTCCTTTTCGTTTTGCAGCTGCATGAGAGGACGGCGCCTAGTCCCAAATTGCTTGCGTCCTTGTGACTTCGGCTTCTTCGTAGAAATGTGCAAGGACGAGATGCTTTAGGAGTCCCCGTCGTAGCTCATTGAACGAGTCTTCTTGCTCGCTTGTCTAGGTGAAAGGCGTGTCTTCTTTCGTCAGTCTGGTTAGTGGCTCCACAATCTTCGAAAAATCTTTGCTGAATCTTCCGTAATAGGCGCAAAGTCCTAAGAATCATCTCACAACCTTTTTATCCGTCGGTATAGGAAACTTTTCTACAGCTGCTGTCTTTTCGGGGTCAGGTCGAATGCCTTCAGAACTAACCACATGACCGATGAAAAGCAGTTCATGAAAACCAAAATGACGCTTTTGGGGTTTTATCGTCAGCCCTGCTGAACTAATCACTACGAGCACAGTCCATAGTTGTTCCACATGCTGATCGAAGGTGGCCAAAAAAATCACGACGTCCTCGAGATAAACAAGGCAAGACTGCCATTTTAACCCGGACAGCACAGTGTTCATCATCCACTGAAATGTGGCGGGTGCGGAACACAGACAAAGTGGGAGTACCTTGAACTCGTATAACCCATCTGTGGTGACAAAAGCAGTTTTCTTGCTATCCTGTTCGTCCACCTCTATCTGCCAGTATCCGCTCTTGAGGTCTAGAGAGGAAAAGAATTTCGAGTCTCGTAATCTGTCAAGGATGTCATCAATCCTTGCAAGTGGATAGACATGCTGCTCTGCGACGACGTTCAATTTTCGGTAGTCAACGCAAAAGCGCAGTCTGGTCCCTTTTTCTTTACCAGCACTACAGGTAAGGTCCATGAGCTAGCCGATGGTTGAATTACGTTGTCTCTAATTATTTCTTTAACTTGGCGTCTCATGACTTCTCTCTCTTTTGGTGACACTCGGTACAGATGCTGGCAAATAAGTCTAACAGATTCATCGATTATGATGCCATGTTTGGTGATGAATGTTCTTTGCACTTTCGATGGCGTGGAAAAACACCAGGCGTACTCCCGTATAAGGCTCTCTATTTTCTGTTTCTGGTTTGGTGATAGGGCTGCTTCGATGTGGATAGATGCGAGTATGGAATCTATGCCGTCAGGGTGTAGTGGTGCGGTCTCAGAATTCAAATCTATAATCGGAACGTAATCGTGCAGGTGACCAACAACAGTTCCCTTCACAAGATGTTGCACCTCATTTCGAAAATTCGTCAGGAAGACAATGGCACACCCATCACACAGTCGTGCAATACCTTTTGCTGTACAGATCCCTTTCTCGAGTAATAGCCCAGTATTGCTTTCTGCCATTCCTTCATAGTCGTTGTATACATTGCTTCTTATGGTGACAACGATGATGGATCTTGGAGGTACTGTTACATCGTCGCCTGCAAACTGGAGAGCATCGAATCATTTTTCACGCTCAAATGTCACGATGGCGTGTTTCCTCGAGAACGAGATGCACGTTTTCCGCAAGTTGGCCTGCAAAAAGTCCATTCCAATAATTACACCTCTTGAACACTCCGATAGGTCAATGAAACTGGCGACGTAGGAGAGCCGTGTATTCTGACTCTAAGAGGTACACATGCCTGCTGGATCGATAAAGTGTCCCCCGGCGGCTCGCACTTGCAGTCGTAACCAAGGAATCGGCACTTTTTTCAGCGTTCTGGCAAGTCCCCTGCTCATGACGGAATAGTCTGCGCCTGTGTCTACCGAAGCATTTGTTTCGTAGCAGTCTATAAGTATGTATCAACAAATCAGAAGCGACGTTGCTGTTTCCGCACGTAGTCTCGTGTCCAACATCACATTTCTAAATCGCACTGCAGGTCGTTTTTTTTTTTACGTCGGCAGTGGCCTTGCCTCCAAAGGTCGCCATTTCTAGTTTTTTCGAAGCAAGCTTTGGGGAAGTCACCTTGGAGAATTCGAAAATGGGCGTGGACTCTGTGACCGATACCTCAGTGGCGCTGTCGACCAAGACTGATGCTACTGCGAGGAGTGAGTATTTTGAGGCGTTTACAAGTACTCCTCAATTTCAAAATGTCGTTCCCCAATCCTCGGACAAGCAGCGTTAATGGGAAAACCCCGAAGTGCAGCTCAGCGATATTCACACATCCGGTAAAGATGGCCAGCTTCACCGCAGTGATAACAAAGTGGAATTTGATCAGGAGTGCGCCATATATCAGCTTTTCGAATACTCGTCTCGGCTGGCGACGACGTGAATCGAGGTTTCGTCAGATGGGTGGTTGCTGCAGTGCAATAGGGTCCAGGGGCGACGAAAGGAGGCACAGGGGCGCCTCTCCGCACTTCGGCGTACGAGACTGCGGGCTGCATCAAAGCCAACGCTTGAAGCGGTTGTTCTTGTGGCTGCTGCTCACAAACTGCCTGTCTCACTTCCTCTGAACAACTTCCGCTAACGACGAGACCATTGAGGGGTTGCCGTTGAGCTTCTGGAGCTCTTCTCAAACCACCGGTGGAATGAGCTCTCGTAACACGTCGATGCTATTCCAAGAAGACTTCTGACACCGCGTCTACAGATGCGACGTTCACATTCCGATTGTAATGCCTTGCTTGCTGTTGCAGAGTCTTTTAAAGCGCTGTCGTTTGGTGTGAAATTCGACGACGTTCTGCGGGGGGGCATCGGAGCAAACCAGCAAAAATCTGCTTCACCCCAGGCATCAGGTGCTGAAATTTCTTGTCCTCACTCATATATTGATCAGACCGGCAAAATAAGTGGCACGTGTCTTCGACATACATTGCGACGCTTTCATTGTTGCACTGGTTTCTTGCTTGCAAGGCAGCTTCAGCTCTTTTCTTGTGGTCTGTGCTCGGGCATGTGGTTAGTAGCTCGCGTCATTCCTAGACTGAATGGCACCTTCATGGTCTTCGAATCCCGTTCGTGCGCTGTCCTGCAAAGCGAAATAGACGCAGCGGAGCTTCTGTTCTTCGATCTATCCGTTGCAGTTGGCGACGTGCTCAAAACCCTCCAGCCAATCCTCGGCGTCTTCATGAGGATCGCCATGAAAAGGGTCGGGCGTCCATGGCTCGTCGACAACGGCGTGCGTGGCAGCAACTGGAGACGACACGACGTGCGTGGCAGCGGTTGGAGACGACATTTCAGTACTCTCACCGGAGACAGCTGGAGACACTCTAGGCTCTGGTGGCAGAGGAAATTCCGGCGGCTCACCCCGCAGACGACAGCTGGTGCGCTGATGAACTGGCATGAGCTCGGTTGATTCGAGTGGTTGTGGTTCAGGGCTGCTTCCTCGAAGTCCAACTGGGTTTGAGATCATTACCCAGCTCCTCCACCAGAATTGTTACGCACAACTCAGATGGTTTAAGAATAACCATTAAATTTGGGCTAACTTGTGCCCCAAAAGTAAAGGAAAATGTAGGAGGGTTTCGAACAGGCAATCCGAAAAAAGGGATCAATTTCCGAGAAGACCTCGAGCGGTGCCCCACTTTTTTTTCGTCAAAATCTCGTGCTGAGGAGGCGCGCCGTCACGGCCTTTTCTTGTCTCATCATCGGGCTGCTGGTCTCTTGTGGGGTGCACAAACTTGCACGCATAGTTTGAATACCATGTCTGTCTTGCGTAAATATACACTTCGAAAAAAATTTTTTAATTGGGTCACATGCATGACATGTAAAGGTGGCTTTTTTTTTTTTTTTTTCTGTAGACACTGATCTCCTCTAACTCTTGTTGAAATTGGCCCAGCAAATTAATTTATAGCACATTTTGCACCCCTCGAACATATTACGTTGTTTCTACACTGTCACCACAGTTTCGGTGTTTCCTGCTTAGATGCTAGTTTTGCTCCAAACAAAGGACCCAGGTTGTACATTGATTGTGGAGCATCTTGGAAACTACTTGTTTCATCAACAAGGTAATTACATTTTTAGAATCTGCACATCCGAATACACAAACTGAGAAAACTTCATACAGATCTATTCATAAATAAAAAGTTGCCCGTTAAGTGTAGCCTCTTCCCCCTTTAATACCTTGCCATGCCCCCAGCGGCAGCGATGACGACGCTCATTTTAGACGTAGTGACGGGTACGGTAACGTGATAAGAAATATTGGCCAAGTTCTTGCAGCAACGATGAAATTGGCTTACTGCCCGACGATGCAGCCAGCACTACGTTCAGCACTACGCCCCTCAAGCGTTTGCGCATTGACTGCATCGTGATGCCATGCGTTATGAGATTTCCCCTAACTGTGAAACAGACTGTGCATTTTAGTGTCATATTACGAGTATCTCTTCTTCAAGAACTAATCAGCATGTTTGCTGCCATACACTGGCCCACTACATAATGGATGCCACATTTACATAGTAAAAAAAGGTGTGATTTTTGAAAAGGCGGTGCTGTCTAAGAAATTCAAATAAAAAGAAGACAGTCTCTCAATGAAAATAACTGTATTTTACCTACGACTTCCCGCAAATGTTTGAGTCTCATAATAAATAGAACAGCATTTATTCCAGTAAGGCAAATGAGATGACCATCAGTAAGCTGATGTGGTAGCAGACACTGCTTCATTCTGTAGCTTCCACAGTGTTGTCAAGAAAAGTTGTAGGTGAGTATATATACGTGCCAAAGTTTTAAGCCCCAGAAAGTAACCAGAAAACCAAAAATGGCCCGAGCAGAAGATAAACGCACAGAGACGGAGAGATACAGACCAGCTGGCATCGTTGGAAAGCCAGTTTGCTCTCCTGGAGGAGATTGATGGCTACTTCTTCCGAGAGGAACGTCTCACCACCAAAGTTCTCCACTGTTGGAGCAATGTTGATGTTAGAACGGGCACCAAGCTTCGCCTGAAGGTCACGACGGAGGTCATGAATTCTGCAAACAAAGTATTCATGACTGCATGGGGCAACAACTTATACAAAAAGAATTGATCTGTATGGCACGTTTTGTTCTAAAGATGGCAAGTGTGCAGCTGCAGGGCAAACATTCATCACAGTCTATTAAAATTTATGCATTAAACGGCTGTATGCATTAAGGTGAAAATGAAGAATTACAATGTTCATGCTGTATGTACTCTGAGCATTGCTGTCAAATCTAGCTCTGTTGTGCCAGAAAGCACCCTTACAAAAGCGAAAGGAATGAGAAAAAATAGGTAGCCAATGACGAAAAGACCAATCGTAGTGTTTTACATGCATAAAGTGGCTTTTATGGTTGAGCACTGGAAGTTGTTGCATGCCTAGTAGAGAGCATTTTGCCCTAAGAAGTTTTCTCATCCATCTAATAAAAGCTGAGAAAACTGCTGTTTTGAAGTGGCACGAAATTACATTCGAGGAGGCAAGCTTTGAAACTACATATGTTGCGTTAATTAATTATCGCAGTATACATGATATTGTGGGCGACGTCAGAGCAGAGGCAAGAGGCGTCTACATAAAAAAGCGACGTCATATCACTACCGACTACATAGGCCCATTCCTCCTCGTACGTCATCCCTTCATTCTCTGGGCACACGCCCGCGAAAAGGGCAAGCAGCATTCAGTTTGAAATTTGACCCATTTCCGCAGCGCACAGCATTCAAATCTTGGCAGATGTGATCGTGAATGCCCAGTGTATGCATTGTGTGTGCCAGCTTAAAATCCTCAGACCTGGTGATGGGCCATTGAACAGCATGGCCAATAGAAATGCACAAGGGGAGAAATTCTGCCTCCCTGGTAAAACAGAGGTAACACAAGAACGAGAAGGGAGAAAGAGCCCTAACTTTAAAGAGAAAAAAGAAACTTAGAGTACATGCCCTATTGATTCTTTTGTTACTTTGCACTAAAAATAACAGGTAAAAGGTGCCTCTGGTGCTTTTTGCACCATGCCAGGACTGTGCCCTCACATGTCTAAATTGCCTAAGTCCTCCCCTTGTGAAAAGAAAGCCTGCTCAGTTGGCATAGTGTATGAAATCCTGCTTAACTGCAGTTGGGTTCAAACTGGCCAAAAAGGGCGACACAACAGAGTTAGAACATTTCAATTTTCGCCAAATTTGTCTTGTGCATTGCAATAATGCAGTTTTGCAGAGTTGCCATTCTATGCAAGAGCAAAGGTGTACGTGTATCAACAGAAGCTTACCACATAAAGAGAACAAAAACGCGCATTTTGGTGATACCTCTGCGGTGCTGAAAGCTAACGAATAAAATTTTTGAAACTTATGTTTTAGCTTAAGAAGACTGAAATTATGCTTATCGTTCTGTATTGAGTAAACATTTTCTGAACAAGTGGTAAAATGAACTGGCTTTATTTTTTCGTACATCTATCTTATATCTCAGGTGCCGTGTGTACAATTGTATATATAGACTTAAGAGAAGCCTCATGAATTCTGACGAAACGCAATGTGCACATTCATACCGAGTAGACAAACAATGGTCATCTAACTTGATTGTGCTGCATCTTGCTGCATAGGACCATTTTGCCGGAGATACTATCATGCTATACAATCCTTCGATGTGTGCCGTTCTTGGATCAACGTCAAAGAGTTTTTTTTTTTCTCGAAGCGGGTATAACCAAAGACAAACTGTACATATCTGATTCTTTTTATGCAAAGATTGAAGCTGACATATTACAAGATAATTAGTTAATCAAATGCCACATAACATTAATTACTAAAACTCACACTAAACACATTCCTTCATTTTCTTTTTAGGGACAAAGCGCTCCTTATGGCGTGGGTCTGTCCATCCCTTGTATGTATGTATGTATGTATGTATGTATGTATGTATGTATGTATGTATGTATGTATGTATGTATGTATGTATGTATGTATGTATGTATGTATGTATGTATGTAGGTATGTATGTATGTATGTATGTATGTATGTATGTATGTATGTATGTATGTATGTATGTATGTATGTGTGTATGTATGTACATAAGTATGTAAATATGTATGTATGTATGTATGTATGTATGTATGTATGTATGTATGTATGTATGTATGTATGTATGACCTAAGTACGTAGCCACCGGTAGCATATATCCACTCTAGAGTGGGCATGTGGCACAGGGGTTGCGAGATGGGAGATGACAGTATTTGAAGTGTTCACTAGATGGACGCACTGACGGACAGCAGACAGACAGACTAACAGACAGACGGACGGATGAATGGACGCACGAACAGACGGACTCACGGACTGACGCACGGATAGACCGACGGACGCACGGATTGTCGCGCGGACGGACGGAAGCAAAAACAAATGGACGGACAGAAGCACAGACGGGCTGATGGACCCTTCGCCCCACTCATGATCATTCATTCCGTGGATATGCTGCGATATTTTTTGAACTACAACATAGAGTGCCTTGCAACCATGTCATGCAAATTTGATTCATTCGCTGACACTGCATCACGATTATTGGGGACAAGCTACGGCAGTGATGCCATGGCAATGGGCAGCTTGTTACTATTTCATGAGACATGCTTCCTGCCGACAGTTCATGACACACTTGCAAGATGCAGCAGTTGTTTACGGCAATTTTAGAGCATGTGAGAGAATGTGGTTTGTATGCATTTGCTATGCAAGGTGTTTCAAGAAATGTGCCCGAAAATTCATAGAAGTATGAGAAATGCAACATTTGCTTGCAGTCTTCGTTGAAGGAGCCCTTGACAGTCCTACAGTGCAACCAAAGTTGCTAGAAAACAAAGAAGTAGCACCATCTCCTGGCATCTGTGTAAAAAGAAGATACCGGAGCCTGGCCAGTTCCACCACTGGAATATATTCTAGTCTACTATAATGGTTAAAGCTCAGGCTGCTTAGGATGTAGATTGGATTAGAGTGACCTGTAATTATTGACTTAATTATTTAGGATATGAATTTGATTGGGTCTGATGCCACATGGATTGCGGTATCTACTATTGATTTCCATCCCCACCTAAATTGCACACATCTAATATATACTTCTCAGGAAAAAAAAAACACTACTACTCACGTATTCTGTGCACCTTACATTGAACAATGACTAACATTGTCACATGAACGGAGTCTTACTGCATAATTTACTTTTTTCATTCTTTTTTTTTTTCATGACGAGCACATACATGATGTTTTATTTCTCTGGGCTCTAACGCTTACAGTTTGACAAAGTCCTCAGATACCTGCAATGAAATCTAGGGGTAGCGTTTAAAGCGATGACGTTTAAACATGTGCTGGCAAGAAGAAATCTGTCAGGGCGCAACAACTCCTTCGATTTCACAGATTTATCACATATGCCAGCGGGTTGCCTTCGTTTGTGTACTCTTTTGAAGTAATAACCGTAAAAACTAATCACGGCTTTATTAATGTCATTTCAAGAAACTGAGATGACGAACTTGGATAAAGCTACCCAACTCTACCCTTGAAACATGAGCTAGCAGCAATAAGTGCATAGCGAAGGACGTTTGGCGTTGCATCGCCAATAATATTGTGACGTGTTGCGGCTAGTTTCGGCTATCTCTATGAGGGGTAGTGCGAAAAAGAGGACGACGACGTGTTTGGTGTGCGAAAATACACAACGGCTGCCATCTTGACTGCTGGACAATTTTTCTACTCTAAAGTAGTAAATACATTCGCAACATTTTGATGGAGGTGCTGGGTACGAGGCAAAACGGAACTTCGCAGCGGACATGTTCTTGACTGCCAGAACATGTCAACAGAAACCAATACTGCCACTCCTGATTCTGCTGCTACTCCGGCGCAGGCTGCAGCCGGTCAACTCTGGCAACTTCTGCGGCACCGACCACGTTGACGTTGAAAACTGCATTTCGAAGTTCGAGCGGTTAGCAGTGATCTACCGGTGGGACCCAACGATGATGCTTGCCAACGCTGGCTTTTATCTCTGCGGAACAACAGGCACGTGGTTCAAGGCTCATGAAGCTGGCATAACTAGCTGGGATGCTTGCAAACAGAAGCTTCGTGATCTATTTGGTAAGACGTCGGATGCCAGCGGGCCACTCCTAAAGAACTCTCTTGTCGGGCACAAACTATGAATGAATCCTATGTCACTTACATCCTTGACGTTCTCGCCCTTTGCTGTCGTGTCGACCCCAACATGACAGACGAAGACAAAGTAAGCCATTCGCTCAAAGGCGTCCCGGATGATGCTTTCAACTTACTTGTGTCTAAGGATTGTTAGACCATTGACAACATTATCAAAGAGTACCGTCAATTTGAAGAGCTGAAGAGTTGCCGAATCGCCAAGAATTTCATGGGACTTCCGAACACTGCCGCTACTTCATCTTGTGGGGACCTTCAGCTGCCATAACGCTTTCTCCTGCACCAGAAAGATTCCGGCACTATCGTGATCCTGCTCAGCGGAGAACGCAGGACGACAAGCCGATTTGTTTTCATCTCCATGGTGTAAGACACATCTCTCGCTTCTGTCGTTCTCACACCTATCCCCCTCAGTCGTTGTCTGGCTATCGACGTGATGACAACCATCGGCCCCTGCAGTATGGCACTTGTGATGATGTACCATACAATGGCGCTCCTGCAACATCCGTCCGCCGTTCCTGCCGTTCGCCGTCCCCGCATAACCATCGCTCCAGGTCACCTTCGCACCGTCGCTATTCATCGCCCCGCCCTACTAGTAGGATGCTCTTCCTCGGAAAACTGAGCAATGCAGCTCCTGGAGGTGATGCCGCATTGAACTCCTGACTTGAAAACCCTCTGCTGACCCTTACTACGGACCAGAACCTGCTCGATGTAGAAGTGGATGGCATTCCCTTTACTGCCCTCATTGACACCGGCACACTTATGGGTGCGCACCAACTAGCCCAAGCTGCCACACTTCCCCTTAAGGTATTGGTGAATATTTGCTTGCTTATTTGTGTAGCTTCTACAATTCCATTGCCAAATCATGTAGGCATGGTTTCTAGCTATGATGAGATGCAGGGGGTGAAATGTCGCCGGCTTTATCACACTGAATGCCGACGAGAAAGGTTGCTTTATAGTCGCAATAGGGTCCAATCCGCTAGGAGGCAAAAGGGTGACTCTAGCCTCTACAGCGATGAGTCGCAGTTGTAGGTGTTCGTTTTGTTGCTGGGTAATTTTAGTTATATTCTTACACGGTCAGTAAGAGCAGAGATCAGTCGGAATGAGTTGCTCATCGACTCATTTAATTCTTTGACTGATTGCTGAATTTCCTTCAGGACTTCAGGTCTCAGGCGTCACGCGTGTGGGTTTGTCTTCACTGGCTTGGGTTTCAGCTCTGCGTTTGGGAGGTGGTGGTGTTGTACCTTCCTCCATTTTTTCAGAGATTGTAACAGCTAAGAGTTGTGGCACTAGTGGTGGAGCATGTTCCGTTCGTTCATAACCGTGTAACTCCTCCTTGAGGCTCCTGTTTTCCTATCCTAAAGCTGTCATTTTCAGGTTGCGCTGAGCTAACATCTGTTTTAGCTGTGCTATTTCAGTCTCTAATTTATCGAGTTTGCCTTGAGAAGCGGCCTCCTCAGACCCCGAGCGCGCCCCCTTGACTAAGTCTGCCCAGCTCACTTTGAAGGTTGCGCCAGGTCCAGGCGTACTGCTCCGAGATGTTGACTGCGGCTGGGAGCGAGGCTGGGAGTGAAACCGTGACTGCGACCACGACCTAGACCTCGACCGGGCTTTCTTTCCAGGCTTCTGGGTAGGAGTAGTATCCTGCTGCTCGAGGCTGTTGCCGACAGGCGTTGGCTTCGTCGGATAGTCCTTATATTGTTGTTATTGTCACTCCCATCGCCGGCGTTTCACCAGGTACGGCGTCTTGTAACGTGCCCTGCACGCCTTCTCAGCCGTCTGGTTGTCGCCGCCACATAGTTGACAAGTGGGCTTGCATTGGTGATCTTGCAGTGGGTTAGCCTAACCACAGCCACGGCCCACGTGGTCTTTTGGGTTTGGGCATACGTCTGCGTAGTGCCAAGGCGACGGCACTGATAACACGTGTCTATCTGCTTGCGTTAAAGAGAGCACCTCAACATTGCTCCACCGTATCGAACGTATGTTGGGACGCGAAGACCAGCGAACAGTATGATCATCGTCATTGTGTTGCTAAGGCGTTTTGTAGCGATGGCTGTGAGGTTCTTTGTCGTAATCACATTAGCCATATTATCTTGAGCGGTATCTTCACACGGGATATCACGTATCACTCCTTTTGACATACCGTCTGGTGCTGCTTCGTATGCACTGGTATTGTACATCTTGTTGCTAATCACAATGCGAAAGATTTTCTGGTATCTATCAGCATTCGCCTCGATGGGTGTGCTCACAACAATAATATTTCGCTGCAAATTTGGGCATATTGTGTCCTCAAAATGGGTTTCTCTTGGAATTTCAGCAGCGTGATAAATGCTAGTCGCCAGTCGAGCAACTCCATGATCGGCAAGTCGAAGGCCGCCTCTAGGTCGGATGATGATCTTGTAGACGCCTCGGGGCAGTGGAGGCATCCAGCTTAATCTTGTTACTTGACACACGTTGCTCACGCTGTTTCTTGCTGTTATTCGCTCGTTGAAAAACCGCACCGGGCTCCACGGATTGCCCGCGGGTCTTCTTTGATCCTATGGCGCTCCATCCTGTGCTTTCTTCAAATTCTTCACAGGAAGGGGTTCTCCCTCCACAGAGACCTCCATTTGTCCTCAGAAAGTCAGACGCGTCAAACACGCCGATTGGCGTTTCTTGGTGTCCGCAGAGCTAGGCAGACCTTACGCAGCAGCATCTCTGGCAGCTGCGCTGCCGGTGGCTTGGCAGGCATTAGGCGTAGCTCTCCCGCCAGCGGGGTTGACGAGAAAGCGTCGGTAAAGGTGTCAAAATTCAAGTCACCACCTGGAACTCGGTGCCGGGCAATTCCTGATGACAAGCTGAATACGCAGGTACCAAAGTCTTGTGGGATTCCAGGCGATTTCTGCTGCAAAACATTCGTTGAAACCGGAGCTGACACGACGCGCATCCACTCGCTCCTACGAGAGCCTTCATAGAAAGGACTCCAATTATTTTATTTGCTGAGAAAGCCTATCTCCACTAATTATAAAGTTACTTATCTTAATTTCCTTCATCACTACCTGTAATTGATGTCTCCACTAAACCAAACCTGCTTGCTGTCACAGAAAAAGTAATTATGAAGGATTTGAGCAAATAGCTCATTCCCCTTATTTTTGAGGATTGAAGGCATTTCATGAAATACCCTGTACTATGCATGACGCTATTTACAAGTGATGCCCTCTTCTATGTCCTTGTGTGGTGGCCATGCATAGTGTATTGTCCAGTAAGCCCGCAAATACTAGCCAAGCAACAAGCCTAAATGAAGAAAAAAGAAATGACAAACTGTTAACACAAGAATTAAAAGCGGTAGTGCAAGGTCACTTGGCACGTTGAATGCCAGCAACATGACGAATGTCATCATGGCTAGGGCGGACATCTTGTAAACACATGCCCAGCACGCACAGTACAGTGAAATATGGCTCAGCGCCTGTTTTTATAGTTGCAGGAAACTTCTGAGACCGCACAGCCTTAAGACTTTCCTGTCTGTGCCCGATGACACCATTTTGCTGCAGCTGGATCTTGGTGAAATTGCCAAGCGCTGCGAAAACTGGCACATGGGGGTAAACATCTCTAAAACAAACGTGATGACATCGACCAAGACCAGTGTAGCCTATACTACTTGCTCTTACGCTATTACCTAAGTGGAAACCAAAGGAATCTGCACAGTAAAATATTGAGACATTCGCACAGAGCTGACATGACACCAGTACATTAATTACATGACTACGGAAGCTGCAAGACCCTCGGTTTTATGAGGCACTGCCAGTACTCCACAATCCAAGCAACAACTGTACCACTGCACGTAGGGTTTCTTGGCATGCAGATTATGTAGTGCAATCAAACTATCCTCACAGTATCATTTCCGATTAATTAAAACTATGTTTGCATAAACACCAAGGATCTTACCCGCCAAACTGAAACTGCCGCTTGTGGTGGTTCTTGGATTCATAGTACCTGTTGAGCACCGTGCAGCATTTGTCCCTCAGGTATTGCATCTCAATGGACAAGTAAGGGTCCAAATGCTTGGAGAAAATCTGGCGCGTCAACTTCTTCAGAAAAGCCGGGTCGTTTCCCATCTTGAACTTGGAAAGGTTGGAAGACAGCTGCATTGTTCTACCACAGGATATCAAGAACATGTATGAAACATCACCCGGGAGCTGATATGGGAGAGTACACTTTATCAATTCTTTGAGTGACCTTACAGTGAGAGGTCACAAAGGGGATGCAAGAGGGTGGAAGCTGTGCCCTTCTGGAATTTCAGTTAATTTTTCTATGCAGAATAAGCTTAATAGCTTTATTAGTGTTTAAGTACAGTATATCCACATGAAATGACCTTTAGCATGACGAGCAAACTTTTTATACCAGTCATGTCACGGCAGTGAAAAGGAGAGTAAAAGGTAAAAACAGAGCAAACTAGAAGAAGTGAACAAAGACATAACGGACAGGGCGAGTGCTGAGCAGCGTTTATCTTTTCTGTTATGTCTTCGTTCATCTCAGCCAGTGGACAATTCACGATCCCTATTGTTCTTCAATGACACAAAGTTTTGCACAACAACAGGATGTGCAAAGACATGACATGAATCTTGTTTTTGGTGCCCTGTGCAAATTATCCAATATTTGCCCAATAATAAACAAAGTAAAACCCGATTCGTGCACCAAGAAAAATACGGCACAGTACACTTAATGCAAAACAGTTATTGTCTAAAAAGTTCCTTTATCTAATAACAAGGTGTATGTACATAGAACGAATGGGGCGCTGCTACATTGAGAGGGTGCCAGGTCATAACTAACAGTAAACAATAATGCGAACAGGCATACGGTAGAACCCCGCACTGAAACTTGTGTCCAATTCCTAACGTGTCCAAATTTTTGGCACACTTTGGGGAGAGATCAGAGATGGGGATATTTGAGGAGTTAACAGTACGTTGTGTTGGGCTAGTTGGTACATATTAGGCTGAAATACGAATGGGGCATTGCTACCTCCTCCTCGCATTTTTTTTTGCGCAGGCTTGGGTGTGTTTGGTTTTTTCACCATCTTTACATTAGGCATATCTGTTTGTTGCTGGTTTCCAGATTTCATGATTGCAATTATCGGTTATTACATCATAAAAATGTTCATGCCTGCACGTGCGGTGAATGAAATGGTCTGCACAAGTCCTCCAAGAGCCTATATATTGTGAATGCTTCATGAAAATAAACTTAGTTGTGAGTTGGCGCTCTTTCTGTCTCGTCTTTTTTTTCTCTTTTTTTTTTCTCTTTGTCAACCTTGCACCTTGTATTTCATCCTGATATTTGAGGACATTTATCCCCTGCACATGCAAGAGACAAGTGCACAGTTGCACATCAGAAGCACTTGTTCTCCATGTCATGAAAAAATGAGAAAAGAAACACACGGGAAAGAGCACTCAGAAATCCATTGGCTGATTTGAGCATGGCGCTTTCGGTCGTTACTGGGGGAGTACTTGAAAAGTACTTCGAGCCATAGCAGGAGGTCACGACTGGTCCACGCATGCGCGCACACTGAGAAGCCACGTATTCAAAAAAAGATAGAAGTGCTTGAGGTCACAAGGACTGATTTGAGCATCGCGAGCTGCATAGCTGCTGTAGCAACTGCAAAGTGCTGCCACATATCTGCATGCACGTTTGCAATCGCGAAAATAAAATAGAAAGGAAGTGTTCAAGGTCGTGACGTGCAGTGATCAAGAGACTCGTTTTCTTGCCTGCTTATGTAGCTGCTCCTTCTTGCATAGCTTTCAGCCGTAGCCCAAAAGGAGAGAGAAAGCTTTTGAAGTGAGCAGCAAACTCTGTTCATACTTGATGGACACTAAAAGTTTTAGCGGGAGACGATTCATGAGGCGGCAAGTTTTTTTTTTTTTTTTTTAATGAAGCCACTCAATGATTAGTTGGAAAAGTGTTGCATTTAAAGGAATCATGAACTTGGTCTTGAAGAGAAAACACGTATTGTGGACACTGCCATGAACTGTTTGGCCAAATCTTGCAGTTGTGGATGAGAGTTCAGAAGTGATGATTGATTGATTGATTGATTGATATGTGGGGTTTAACGTCCCAAAACCAGTTCAGAAGTGAAGTTGCCACTTTCTCTGGTGCCCCCTATTCATACTAGGTCCTGTGCTTACTTGGGGTTCATACTGGACCCTGTGCTTACTGTGCTTACACTCTGAGGGGCTGCAGGTTCCTGTGCCAACAACCGATAAGCATGTTATAGCCGACACAGGAATCAAATGCAATTCTTGTTATGGGGTGCCATATGCTGGTGCCACGCTATTACACAGCCTGCTAACGTTACACAGACACACGCAGGAATGGAAGAGAGCGATTCATTACACACATGGACTCTTTCCTCCATTTGCAGCACACCCGTTGGACTGAGGTAAAGCGCCTGAAGCATGCAATAAATCCCTCTAACTCTGCTTGTTCTTGACAGAACTTTTTGAGGGAACTTGATGTAATTTGATGATTATTTAAAAAAGTCCTTTAGTAAAGTTTTATTCTGTCTCATGCATGCCATGACTATGTTGTAAACTTTGTGCAAGTCCAGCATAGCAAGTACTGAAGAGGCAGTGAGAGTACAGACCTATTTCATGTTTGTAAACAGTCGATGTATGTAGGTTTGTTGTAGCGACTTCGCGGAGCATCGGCTCTGCCCAGCCATCCCGGCACAGGCACTGCCACTCCCTATGATCATGTGACAAGCTGCGCAGCCGGTGGAAAAGCTGCCTGCGAGCCCAGCGCGCCAGGACACCTACCACAATTTTACAAGCGGTGGCCGCAACAAGAGATGTTGCAGTGGCTATAAGAGGGGCTCTGAAATGAACATGTGAGCCTTGTCGACGTATATCTTTGAGAACCTTACCAAAACATGAAGCAGCTTACGGCGGCAATGTGGCTCATTTGCGAAATGTCATTGCTACATCGGCAGTCTACGTCACACGTGTACATTTTAATTTGTTAACTAATGTGAGAATGACAGACCAAGGTCAAGAACAGACTCTAGGGCATGATATGCAAATTGGCAATGTAAAAATGCATCGCCATCAATCCTTACGATCACTTCTCGCATATAAGACATGTTCCGGCAACCCTTTCATCTGAAGTACGCTTACGGCATTGCTTCAACTACATGCTGTGTGCAAGTCCACGGCTCAAGCCGAGATTGTGAAATGCGTACAGACTGTAAGCAGACTTGGCAAGTTTCCCAAGTGTTGTTTTTCTGTGAATTCTCAGACATGAAAATCTCGTGAAGCGCACCTTAGCCAGAACAGCCCTGTCCGAAACATATGTGTCAGGTGAGTCATCCGCACATAATCAGAAAAAGCATAGTCGAAGTCATCTTTTTGTTTGCTGCTATTTTAATGAACTGTGCTCACGCAAAAATAAACACCTGCACGATGACAGTGCGACACGGTTACTTCATGCGAATATAGCAAAATACTGTTGATGCGTCTGAACTTCTGCAGTTATATCAACAATAGCAATCATGAAAAATTCTTCGCATATGGCAATCCTATCCACAAAGTTAGTGTGATTTGAGGTAAACATGCTCGATAGGCCTCCACACAAGGCTTATTCTGAAAATTGCTGTGCGGCAAATTACAATGACAAATGCTTGATAAAACTACTCATTTTTGCTGGGTAAGCTGGTCTAAAATAACAGATGAAGCAGTGTCAAATGCAAGTTCTCGCATATTTTACAGCAGCAGCTAATCTTCTTGCAACAATTTTGTAAACAAAAAAAAACTAAGTAAAGAAAAGAACACCCAGAATAACTTTCTTGTGCCTTCTCGCACAGATAATCGTGACAGCTCATCGTTACAACATCTTTTTTTCTTTGAACGATGATCAAAAGCACACGCAGCCTTAAAGGCAAGGCAGTAACTGCAGTAGGCACAATGGCTTTTGCCTAGCAGGCGAAACTGAATGCCTGACGACAGTGCCACCACATTTCCGTCATGTATGTCCGGTGGAATTCGTCTACATTGCTTACTTTGAGTAGAGCTCATACAGGGTCCGAAGGTATTTCTCTGGGTCACTGCGGTCACTCAGGTTCGACTGAATGTATTCCTGAAAAATAAAAGACTTTTCTTTAGACATTTCTTCCCCCTAGCAAGGCATGGCTAATGTGGATTCTTATTGAAGCCTAAGGGTAAAATGAAGGCAAGCACAGAAAATGAAGTGTGACCTGCAGCTTCCCATTGTAGATGTTGGAGACAAACTTGCACATTACTTGCTCCGGGTTGGTAAAGACCTCTTCAATTACTTGCTCACTCCGTTCACAAAGAGGCACTATGTTGGAGAACATGTCCTTCTTCATGAATGCACCCTGTGGATTAGGATCAGGTTAAACACACCGTGCCACCCCCACTGGCTGCTAAACTTCTTACCATTTGGCTCTCGTCAATAAATGTGTCAATGCAGTTAGCATAGCCCTAAAGAAAAAGAAAGGCCTTTTCAGTGACCACACAAACAAATTGATTTCTTCCACAAGAAACTATTACCTGAAAACAAATGCTTCTCACAGACGGCTATTAGAAACAACTCTAGACAGCAATTGTAAACGCATTGTTTTCTTATAGAATACCTCAATTCAGTGAACTGAATTTTTTTATACTACCAAGTCTGATCACCTTAATACAATGGATAAGGCACCAATTATCATCATCAGTTAAAAGGTACCATGTTCATACCTGAAAATTAAAAGGGCTAAGATGACAGGTACGAGAATTGATTGATATGTGGGGTTCAACGTCCCAAAACCACCCTATGATTATCAGAGACGCCGTAGTGGAGGGCTCAGGAAATTTCGATCACCTGGGGTTCTTTAACGTGCACCCAAATCTGAGCACACGGGCCTACAATATTTCCGCCTCCATCAGAAACGCAGCTGCCGCAGCCGGGATTCGAACCCGCAACCCGCGGGTCAGCAGCCGAGTACCTTAGCAAATAGACCACCGTGGCGGGGCAACAGGTACGAGAAAAGGCACAACACTAGTAATTACAAATGAAGCTCTATTGCTTCAAAAGGAAATGTAAACACAAACCCGATTCTAGCGTATTATCCTTGCAAGTTTGCTGAATTATTTGCCTTTATTTTGCTTGGCACCAAAAAAATGGTGCCAAACAAAATGGTGGGGGTCTCAATTGCAACGCCAACATCAGCGTTGCGGTCTTATAGTGGCTTGGAGAGGCCGAACACACGAGGATAAGGTTTCCCACTAAGGTGAGTCTCAAAGTATCAACACAACTAGCAGAATCTATTTCCATCAAAACAACTCGAGTATGCCTTCCTGGGACACACCTGTACGGATGGGACGGCACAGCTGGCTACCGAAAAAGCGCAAGTCAAACCTCTGCTCACTGCTAGATTCTTTGGACAGGAACGCCAAACCGCGTCTGGCCCCTTTTTATTGTGATAGCAATTATATGGGCAGTCTAGGCTGTTTTTTTTTTTCCGTCGCCGCCGCCGTCATTCAATGTATATGTATACGTATATGTGTATATGTATACGCATATGTATATGTGTATATATATATATATATAGATATATATATATATATATATATATTGTAGAGAAGCCGCCGAACACTGAAGTGGGTCAAACTCTCAAGTGTTCTCTAGTGGGTCTACCCAAAAAAGGACGCCGCTCGCGCTGGGAGTCCGTGCTTGGCCGTTACTGTCGCTATTGTCTATACTCGCTGTGTGCCTGCTAATAAACGCCATAACAAATTGGTGGAGAGTGCTACGATCCCCTTTGATGCCCTGGGAACTGCGCTCACGTACCTTGCAATCTACGATGTCCCACGACGCCTCTCAGCAAACGCCTCCTCCCATGCCACCCCCTTGTCCCGGTGTCCCCAGGATCCGAGATCCCCCCATCTTCACGGGCGCCGATGGCACTGACGTGGAGGACTGGCTCGCTACTTACGAGCGCGTGAGCGTCCCCAACAAATGGGACGAGGACGGCAAGTTGACAAACTTGGTGTTCTACCTTGCGGGCGTTGCGAGCTTGTGGTACAACAACCACGCGTCCGATATCGCAACCTGGTCCAATTTCAAGACCGCTATCACCAACGTTTTTGGCCGCCCTGCCATTCGTAAGCTGCAAGCCGAGCAGCGCTTACGCGAACGCGCTCAACAGGCCGGTGAGTCATTCACCAGTTACATAGAAGATGTCCTGGACCTGTGCAAGAAATCCAACGACAGCATGTCCGAATCAGACAAGATCCGGAACGTCATGAAGGGCATTGACGATGATGCCTTCACGATGCTGCTTGCCAAAAACCCAGGCACAGTAGCTGAGGTCATCACGCTGTGCCAGAGCTATGAGGAGCTCCGCCGGCAGCGTTCGATGACCCGTCGCTCCACACCACGAGATGCAGGGCTTGCAGGCTTGGAGGCGAGCTGTGATCAGGTGGCACTGCTGGCAGACCTCAAGTCCTTCATACGTGAGGAAATCGCGCGGCAGTTCTCTCTCCTGCACTTTGCCCACCCACCGGCTGCTCAACAATTGGCCACTACTATTCTTCCACCCATCCGCCAAGCAATTGAGCAGGTAATAGCGGAGGTCATGCCTGCGTACCAACCACAACAGCTTCCGGCCCATGCGCCCCCAAGTTACGCCCAAGTGGTCGCCAGGCCGCCTCCAGTCGTTCAACCGCCCGCCCCACTGACTTACGCCGAAGCTGCCGCACGACCTCCATCCTTTGCAGCGGCTATGCCGGCTACGTATGTTGGCGCAACCCCTCAGCCTCATTTTCAGCCCACCATGCAGCCTTTCCAGCCACCGTTTCGTCCATCGGCTCTTGCGTCATGGACAAGACCTACCCCAGCGAACCGATGGTGCACACCCGACAACCGGCCCATCTGCTTTGCCTGTGGTTACGCTGGTCATGTAGCCCGTTATTGCCATCGTGTACAGCCGGCTCGAATTTCTTCACCTAGTGCTGGCCACCTCAGCCGTCCCTATCACGACGAACCACCGTCTATGCCACCGCCGTCTCGCCCTGGTCCATCTCCTCGAAGGTCGCCGTCTCCACGACGTCGTTCCCTGTCCCCCATGAGGCCAAGTTCGGCTACTCATGAGCGGGAAAACTAGTCGTCGCAGTCCCCGAGGCAAGGACTGCGATGCTATTGCGATGTGAAAGCCCTCAGAGCCGCCCATCAAATGTCATCGACGTGCTTGTTGACGGTGTTCATGCGTCTGCTCTTATTGACACTGGAGCTGCAGTATCCGTTATGGACGAAAACTTTTGCCGCTTGCTTCGAAAAGTGACGACGCCGATTTCTGGGTTGTCCCTTCGTACTGCCGGTTCACACCGTATCACTCCTTCAGCAGAGTGCACAGCTCGCGTTGTCGTTCAGGACGTCCTGTATGTCGGCCAATTCATTATCATTCCTGCATGCTCTCATGACGTCATCCTGTGGTGGGATTTTCTTTCCCGCAACGACGCCGTCATCCATTGTGCCAATGCCGAAATTGAACTCTCACCCTTCTCGCATTTGACGCCGGAAGACAGTCCCTCAAAACTGAGTAAGATTCTCGTGAAAAACGACACCATAGTGCCTCCAAGCTCGGCGATGGGTGTACCTGTCTACTGCGCTGGACTCTCCGACACAATTGCGCTAGTTTCGCCATCCGACCGTGCTTGCCGAAGGAAAGGGTTGCTAGTACCTTTCGCGACCGTAAAAATCACCCAGAGCAACGCCGCTATTTTTGTGACCAACCCATCCCCGTACACTGTTACCTTGGTTCGAGGGGAATGTCTCGGCAGAGTGGAACCAGTGGATAACGCACAAGTCCTGGACGTACCTGATGACTCGCGTTGTCCCAGTTCGTGTACCGTCAGCGCTGTTTCCACTTATGATTCATCATCTCCTGATGTATTTGGCCCCTACATTGATGACAATCTTACGTCGGTACAGCGTTCCCAGCTTCTGGACCTGCTGCGAGAATATCATTCTTCTTTCGATGTCGGGCGAAGTTCTCTCGGTCGCGCGTCCACTGTTACACATCGTATCGACACTGGTGCCCATCCACCATTACGGCAACATCCCTACCGCGTGTCGCCTGCTGAACGTCGGGAAATTAATGAGCAGGTTGATGATATCCTCAGACGCGACGTTATTCGGCCCTCGGACAGTCCATGGGCGTCTCCTGTTGTTCTTGTCGCGAAGAAAGATGGTTCTGTGCGGTTCTGTGTGGACTACAGACGGCTCAATAAGATCACGCACAAGGATGTTTACCCACTGCCGCGCATCGATGACGCAATTGACAGCCTTCACGGAGCCGAATTTTTTTCTTCTCTCGATCTGCGCTCGGGGTACTGGCCAGTACCCATGGCTGATGACGCTCGACCGAAGACTGCGTTCATCACACCCGACGGCTTGTACGAATTCAACGTCATGCCGTTCGGTCTATGTAATGCTCCTGCGACCTTTGAGCGCATGATGGACACCGTTCTGCGCAACTTGAAATGGCACACGTGCTTGTGTTACCTCGATGACGTTGTTGTGTTCGCCCCAGATTTCTCCACGCATCTCCAACGTCTGAAAGAAGTTTTCGCACGTGCGAGCAATGCCGGCTTGCAACTAAATCTGCAGAAGTGCCGCTTTGCAGCACGGCAACTCACCATCCTAGGGTACGTCGTGTGTAAGAATGGCATTCTTCCTGACCCAGCCAAGCTTCGGGCCGTGGCTGAATTCCCCAAACCTGCGTCCATCAAAGAACTGCGTAGTTTCGTGGGCCTGTGCTCATACTTCCGACGCTTCATACGAAACTTTGCTACGATTATATCACCGCTGACGAAGCTCCTTGGAAGTAACGGGCCCCTCAATTCGTGGTCGTCTGAGTGCGACGACGCGTTCGCGAAGCTCCGCCATTTGCTGACGTCTCCTCCCATTCTACGCCACTACCACCCTACGGCCCCGACGGAGGTGCCCCGACGGAGGTGCCCCGACGGAGGTGCACGACCTTATTTGTATGGTCGCCCATTCGATGTCGTCACCGACCATCATGCACTATGCTGGCTTTCATCATTGAAGGATCCCTCAGGCCGTCTCGCCCGTTGGGCTCTTCGCTTACAAGACTACGACATCCGCGTGCTTTACCGCAACGGACGCCAGCATGCTGACGCCGACGCCCTCTCGCGCTCCCCTCTGCCTGAAGGTGATGTGCTCTGCTCAGTATCCTCGACTGCAGTTTCTGCCATTGATGTTGACATCATCGCTACCGAACAGCGAAAGGATAATTCGATCGGCCCGCTCATCGACTTGCTCGCTGATCCATCCGCAACGCCATCCACGCGTGCCTTGCGTCGTCAAGCTCGCCATTTCGCCATCCGTGACGGCCTTCTACACCGACGCAATTACGACGCTGATGGCCGGCAGTGGTTACTCGTGATACCCCGCAGTCTGCGGTCAGAGATCTGTG